AATCACCAACTTCACATGGAAAGGGAGGAGGCCTGGATAAGTAAAGCATTACTCAAGAAGAAGAACAAAGTGGGAGGCCTCACACTGCTTTATTTTAGAATCTATTATACCGCCACAGTAGTCAAAACAGCCTGGTACTGGTACAACAACAGATGCATAGACCAATGGAACAGAATTGAGAATCCAGACATAAATTCATCCACCTATGAGCACCTGATATTTAACGAAGGCCCAATGTCTGTTATTTGGGTAAAAGACAATCTCTTTAACAAACGCTGCTGGCATAACTGGATACAAATCTGCAAAAAAAATGAAACAACACCCATACCTCACATCATACACAAAAACTAACGTAAAATGGATCAAAGACCTAAATATAAAATCGAAAATGATAAAGATCTTGGAAGAAAAAATAAGGACAATGCTACATGGCATAAACAGAACACAAAATATTACTAACAATGCACAAACACCCGAAGACAGACTAGATAACTGGGAGCTCCTAAAAATCAAACACTTGTGCTCATCAAAAGACTTCACCAAAAGAGCAAAAAGAAAACCTACAGACTGGGAAAAAATTTTTGGCTACAACAAATTCGATCAGGGTCTAATCTCTAAAATCTACAAGATACTGCAAAACCTCAACAACAAAAAGACAACCTAATTAAAAAATGGGCCAAGAATATGAACAGGCACTTCACCAAAGAAGACATTCAGGTGGCTAACAGATACATGAGGAAATGCTCATGATTATTAGCCACTAGAGAAATTCAAATCAAAACTACAAGCAGATACCATCTCACTCCAATAAAACCAAAACCCAAACCAGGGTTTCCCACCCCAACAAGGCTAGCATTAATTCGAAAAACACAAAATAAATGTTGGCCACATTGTGGAGAGACTGGAACACTTATACACTGCTGGTAGGAATGTAAAATGGTACAACCACTTTGGAAATCGAATTGGCGCTTCCTTAAAAAGCTAGAAACAAAAGTACCACATGATCCAGCAATTCCATTGCTTGGAATATATCCTAGAGAAATAAGAGCCATCACATGAATAGATACAGGCACGCCCATGTTCACTGCAGCATTGTTCTCAATAGCAAAAAGATGGAAAGAACCTAGGTGCCCATCAACAGACAGATGGATAAACAAATTATGGTATATTCACACAATAGAGTACTACACAATGATAAAAACAACAGTGAATCTGCAAAACATCTCATAACATGGATGAATCTGGAAGGCATTATGCTGAGTGAAATTAGTCAGTTGCAAAAGGACAAATATTGTAATAAGAACTCAATAAATGGTTTAAACACAGAAGAAAACATTCTTTGATGGTTATGAGGGTGGGGAGGGAGGGAGAGGAGTATTCGCTCATTAGATTGTAGACAAGAATTATCTTAGGTGAAGGGAAGGACGACACACACTATAGGGGAAGTCAGCACAACTGGACTAAACCAAAGCTAAGAAGTTTACTGAATAGAATCAAACAGTTCAAAGGACAGAGTAGCAGAGGTGGGGGCTCTGGGGATCATGTTTTCAGAGGACATCTAGGTCAACTGGCATAAAAAAGTTTATTAAGAAAATGTTCTGCATCCCACTTTGGTGAGTGGCATCTGGGGTCTTAAAAGCTAGCCTCCGGCCATCTAAGATACATCAGTTGGTCCCAACCCACCTGAAGCAAAGGAGAATGAAAAACACCAAACACACAAGGAAAATATTAGCCCAAGAGACAAAATGGGCCACATAAAATACAGACTCCATCAGCCTGAGACCAGAAGAACTGGATGGTGCCCGGCTACCACCAATGACTGCCCTGACAGAGAACACAACAGAGAGTCCCTGACAGAGCAGGAGAAAAGCGGGGTGCAGAACTCAAATTCTAGTAAAAAGACCAGGCTAATGGTCTAACTGAGACTGGAGGGACCCTCGAAGACATGGCCCTGCAATCTCTGTTAGCCCAGAACTGAAACCATTCCTGAAACCAACTCTTCAGACAAAGACTAGACTGGACTGTGGGACATAAAATGATAGTCGTGAAGAGAGTGCTTCTTAGCTCAAGCAGATACATGAGACTAAATGGGCAGCTCCTGTCTGGAGGTGAGATGAGAAGGCAAAAGGGACAGGAGCTGGTTGAATGGACATGGGAAATCTGGGGTGGAAAGAAGGAGTGTGCTGTCACATTATAGGGAGAGCAGCTAGGGTCACATAACAATGTGTGTATAAATTATTGTATGAGAAACTGACTTGAACTGTAAACTTTCAGTTAAATCACAATAAAAAAAAAAAAAGATTTCAAAAGAAAGCATGCCCTTCACAATTTTTTCATAATATTAATCAAGTCTCCCAAAGAAAAGTGTTACTGTTGGCCTATTTTTCAAATCTTTTCTATAACAAGTTAATATATTTCAGCAACCCCTTTTTAAAACTGCATATACAAGTTCTCTATTTTAAAAGTCTTGATCTCACACAGGTGGGCAGATGGACCCACATAAGAATCTTCCTTTGCTTGATGAATTGGTCTTGCCAACTATTTTATTAGTACTATGACTGCTCATATTGAGGCAAAGTACTTGAACATTACCTGTAATACCATTTTCTATTCGGAAATAAAACGAAAATGAAGCGCTTGGTTTTGTTACCTTAGTAATTTGTTCACAGAATACTTTATTGATTAAGATATATTATTAGGTTCTATGTCATGTGAATAAAACATGAAAATATTTTGTTCCCATACTATCATACTTTGGTTACCTAAGGGAATTTAATTTTAAACCTGATAATTTGAATTTTAATATATGTAAATAAAAATATTTACAAGATGGACTAAATCAGTGTTTCATCCTTTAAAAATTGTATCAGGAAATTTTGTATTCCAGAAGATAATTTGTGTCTTAGGTTTTGCTCTTCCTCCATATCTTCTTTTGTTTACAGTTTAGCTCCTTGCTAAATATTTCTTTCAGAACAATGAATTTTAAAATAAAAAAGGATTCATTTAAGTATCATATGGTTACCTCTTTATTGTAATAAATTAACACTGTTCTTTTCATTATAATAAAGGTGTCATCATATTAAGATGTTTCAAAACCAATTTAGCAAACAAAGGAGGGTTTTTATGTGACTCTTTCTGACCATCCCTGAAGCAGCAGTGTTATGAGAATATAACTTTAAAAAACAATTAGAGACCACGTGTAAGCAGTTGTAAGAAGATAAAATATATTAACTTGTTACAAATAAGTTGTGAAAAATGGGCAAATGATAATTTAGCAGAAATTTACTGTAAATCTTTTAGAGCTTTATTTCATCAAACTTAGTATTTGAAAACGATTCATCTTCTCTTTTTCCCATCTTCATTTAATGGAAATGTACACTTGGCCACAATGAAACCCAGAAACTGAAAAGTCTCATAAACATTTTCTTTTTACCAGCCTCCTTCTGATTGTTTAACATTGAATGGTTCAGAAACGTAGCTTTCTATCAAAGGTACAGTGAGCTGCCCTGCACTGTCAGGGAGACTTAAGATTGTTCAGACCCGTGGTCATTTGGTTACTATATTACACTGTAAGAATATAGTAGCTAAGCTTGGGGCCAGGGTGGGTTGGGGGGAGACAAAGTATCCTTTCTGTGCTGTGAGGGTTTAGATAATGGATGAACAATGATGGATTTCATGGTGATGGATTCATCTGATTTCCACTGGCCTCATCTAGAATCTCTATTAGATTACGTTCTAGTGTACTCGTTGCTTTCCTACTTGTCAAAGTACATTTTCTAGGCCAAATCTTGCTTTTGAGAGCGTTTCTAAATGGCTTCCTATAGACATCTTCAGGTTTCTCAAACAAATTTGCTTCACAGTAAAAATATTCAAACTTAGGCTGTTTTTTATATTTCCGTTTCTACAAATGAGTGGACCCCTGTATTCCCACACATAAATATATTAAAGAAAACAAAACAAAAACTAAGAACTATTTTGATCTTTCCAACAGGGGAATTCATAAAAAGACTTAAGTGACCAGTACTCTTTGGGTTATCATGATACTATTTTTCATTACTTCATAAGATCAAATATAAGGTTATTTTCTCTCCTACATAGTCTACATTTTGTAATTAGCAATGGCATTTATGACTAAATAACACAGTCAATCCTTAGCTTGGTTCTGTTTGGCAATATTATGGTTGTCTCATAATATATGGACAAGGAAAACGCAGTTGTACAACACACCAACAATATGACTGAAATGTATGCCATTCAAATAGCTATGGATTATAAATGTCCATATGGGATCATATCATTATTCCTTTATTATACTGTCTTATGTGGCATATTGGCTAATTTATACTCTAGGTTTTTAATCTGAATCTCTTGGCCACTGAGGTCATTTTTTTTTTTTTCACACTAGAATTCTTTCTGTATACAGGTAACTCATCTAAACTGTAAGCCATTAATTTAAATAATATGAAAAATGGTAACACAGCATAGTCCTTAGCTGTGTTAAAGATCACAAAGGCTAAACATTGCTGTTATCAACAACTTATTAAGAATGAATTAAAGAACAAAGAAGAAGAAATATTCATACCTTAATAATTAGCAACAACTCAACAGCATTAAACATTGATTCTGAATCTAATTTTATTTATGATCTCTTGGGGTCAAAAGATGTTTACAACACAATATATATAGAGTACTGAACATATACTAAGTAAATATAGTATATTGTCCAAATTTATGGCATGAGCTATTTAAGGTATATCTTTGTACAATCCACTTAAAAACCACAGAATTCTTTCTCTGGAGACTCAGAGTATAGGGAGAAGATAAACCAAGGAGAAAATAAAATATATTGCCATACAATTTCACATAATTACATTTCTAAAAATAACAGAATCCTCAACAGCAAGTCTGTTTTTAGTAGTCTTGACTAGGAATATTGTGCCCTATCCTATTTAATATTATAATATTCATTTAACCTAGTCCTACATTTGATATGGGGCAACAAATCAGGGGAAAAAAAGTAATTTTCTAAAACTTGGATGTAGTAAGATATACTTGCCTTTTCTTTGTAAGAAAATTAGATGATCTGTATTAAGAGAGCAGATTTCTATTCTGCCTGAAGCTTCAGATATGCTTTTATTGGGAAAAAAGGATTAAAAAAAAAAAAGTGGGAGGCTTAGAAGAAAGTAACCAATAAACTCTATACCATATTGCTGAATATAAATTTCTAGGGTTTTGTTTTTGGCTAATGCACCCCTTTTTTCCTAGTTTCCAACCTCACAAAGAAGAAGAGCAGAGGGCTGGCGAACACTGGCTTAATTATCCCCATCAGTCTCAGAGACAAGGCGCTTAAGAGTTTTAGCTGCTGTAAACACTCCCCTGATAGCAGATAAGAAATCTGCTGAAAGGCGGTTTTGTCTGGAGAAACCTCAGGGGCACACCAGTTAATCATTAGTGCAATATTGTATATGCATTACTACATCAAAGGAAACAGAACCCAATATTCTATTGCGATGATTTTCTATGTTTTTCCCACCCAAAGTTAAGAAAACTAATGCTAACACAGAAAAAAAAAAAAAAGATAAAAAAGATAATTACATTTGTGGCAGATACAAAGCATGGTCTACTTTCATTCATTTTTTTTTTTTTTCTTCAAAAGGAATAAGTCATTATTGTTTGGTTTTGTATTTTTTGGAAAATGCGTCTACTGGGATATACAAAGTTTCCACTGAGGTCAAAGATGTTACTTCTGTCTAAAGAAGAATTTGCACCTTTGTATCTAAATGCACTGATCAGAACCAGAGAATATCACATAACCTCATTTCATCACAACACTAGACGTAAAACAATGTTCTTCTTCCATATCAGTATTGTGTTTGTCTAGCAATCTGTTTGTGGAAAACTGACACTTCACTATTCATAACAAAGAACCCTTCTATCATTTCAAAATGAAGGCATCCATAATGACCTCCTATTCTTCAACTCTAATAGACTTCTCACAGTCCTATAATCAGAGAATCTCAGAGACTTCCAAAGCCTTCAAATATCTTTCCAGTATTAACTTCCACTGTCTCTCACCTCTTCTGCCACTTTGTGTAAAGCAAAATAAACCTTTCCATTGTTATGCACTCCTTGTTCTTTCACACATCCCTGCCTTACACACACTTTTTCTTCTAATTGGGTGCTTATCCTTCAGCTCCCATTTCTACAGTTTTACATTTCCCGTAGGAGTCCTTGGGTGGTGCAATGGTTAAACACTCGACTAACTAGCTGAAAGTCTGGGTGTTCGAACCCACTCAGAGAAATAAGACAGGTCTGACGATCTGCTCCTGAAAGGTCACAGCTTCAAAACCCTATGGAGAAGTTCTACTCAGCACACTTGGGGTTGCCATGAGTCAGAATCAAGTGGACAGAAACTAACAACAACAACCTTTGCTGGAAGCTCCAAGTCTAATCAGACTTCCTACACAAAGACTCTCTGCTCATGCTTCCCTCATTTATTTGGAAGTAATCTCTTTTTACCTCTGAATTTCCTTGGTAACTTTTTATCGTACCGATGTCTAATATTTGGCATATAATGGGCTCTCAGTAAGTGCTGCTAAATGACTGGACTTAGTAAAAACTGTCTACTTTTTTAATGATTAGTGTGCACATGTTTAATGGGATTTTAAGGAGGACAAGATAATTCTTTTCTACAGCAGAAAGTGTGATCATTTTCAATATGTCTAGGTTGCCTGGGTGGGGGAGGGGAGGAATTAACTAACATTTGTGGATTACTTACTATATAGCAGGTATTATCCTAAATGGTTTACATCTTATTAAATCCTATTAAGATTATTAACTTGTAATGCTACCCTTTCTGTGTGTCTAAAATTATCTAAATTGTTTGCTTTTTATCTTTGATGAAAGATTTAGTGGTATACATTGAGGCTTACTTTATTAATGGATTGTGAATTAATCAGGCCAAAGCATAGATGTCTTATTTAGGTATTTATAAGCCCAGCTATTTGCTATTGCTATTGTTACTTCTAACTCAGCCCCATTTATTAATAGATGTCTCTCAGAGGAAATTTTTAGTTTACAACTTAAATCATGGCCAATTCAAAATGGATTTTACGTGAGGGAATTCGAGCTCTAAACAATTAAAGTTACTGAGGGAATTAAGGGTCTGTTTTGCTTCTTCTTCTTCTTTTTAACCCTTTTATAAATTTTACAAATGTGTATTTCTGTATTATCCCTACTTCATCCTTATTAAGGTCTGTAAAGAGTTTGAGCCCATGCTTTACTATGGAAAAGTTTTAGGATAAGCCAACTTTTATATAATAAAATTTCAACATGGTTCATTTGATTTAAATAATTAAAGGCTTAATTATTTTGGTATGAAGTTTTCAGGAGATTCTATGTTATGCAGCTCAAACCATATGAACTCTCCACTTTTCTTCCTGTAGACCTCACCAGTTTAGGTAAACATTTCAGACCAACTGAGCAGTGATATATTTCTCTGAAGGCTGACACCAAGGCAGAGTGGCTCCTCCTGAAGTTGGTATATTCAAGAGCAGATGTTTTGAGTATGGAGTCTATGTAAACGGTACCATACCTGTGCAATTTGACTTCAATAGTACATTGCTGCAAAATATTGCAAATAATCAGACTCTTTTTCTGGTACTCAGTAAATCATCAGGAATTTGGAACAGACTATTTACAGTACAGGACAAAATCCATGGTGCATGAAAGTTCACAGTTAGAAGAAAGCTTATCTTCAGCAATGTAGAATAATGGTTAGAGCAAGGGACTTGTCATTGGATGGTCGCTAATTTGAAATCCATTTCTGGTAATTGCTAGCCTTGAACAAATTATTTAACCTTTATGATCCTCAATTGGCGCATCTAAAATAAAGGAATAATAATAATACCTATCTTGTCATGTCTGGCATAAGGTCAGCATGTTATTATATGGGTACATGGCCAACATGTTATTATTATCATTTGATTATTATGACAAACAGCAGAAGCATAAAAGTTTCTCTACACATTTGGAAAGAAGAGTAGAACAGGACAGTCAGCTTTTCTAGCCCTAGATATTGAAGCAGAGAAATGATAAGATCAATTTCAATTAATGCCGGCTTCGGGGGACTGAATGGCAAGAGCATGGAGTCAGGGCTCATTTTTTTTCTAAATATGCTAGTAAAAGATTGTAGAAAATTAAAGTTGGGACCATACTATTGGTGAAATTAATTTCTTCAAGCATATATCTTTAGGATCATCAAAGTATATTATGTGGTTCTCTTTGTGTTACAATATTCTGAGTATTGCCACCACGTGAATTATTATTTTCTATATCAATATTGTAAACCCTGGTGGCATACTGGTTAAGAGCTACAGCTGCTAACCAAAAGGTCAGCAGTTTGAATCCACCAGGTGCTCCTTGGAAACTCTAGGAAGCAGTTCAACTCTGTCCTATAGGGTCGCTATGAGTCGGAATCGACTCGACGGCAACGGGTTTGGTTTGCGTTTTCTTATATCAATGTTTGTTTTTAAATTATCAATATATAACATATTAATAACAAACATTTGGATGGATAAAATATGTACAACAAATTCAGCCACTTAAAGCGTATAATTTTATACACATAATATTTTAAATAGCTTTACATAGGAAGTTTTCTTTCTTCAAGGTTAAAAAATATTGGAGACAAATAATTTAATTGCATCTTTCAAACAGTTATAATAAATATCTTGTTTCAAGCTATAAAGATTTTTCTACTATGTTATTATAAAGTTTTGAATCTAATAGTCATCATTTTGGTTTTCTCTACTGGCAGAATCTAGTAAAATTATGAAGTTCAAATATTTAACTGGGTATCTACAGCAACATGTTAAAATAAAACCTTAATATCTTGAAACAAAATAGAAGTAAGTTAAATAAAGGAGAAGCCAAAATATTTGCTATTTTTAAAGAAAAGACTAATGGGACTTATTTTACATGTTTTTAGATATCCAGTCTATTTTTATTTTTTAGACATATAACCACATATTATTTTTTTAGCAACCACAAGTCCATTTTAATATGCCAAAAATTTAGTCTAGTTCTTTAAAAATTAACACAATCTCTGATTAATTAGTAAAGGGGAGAACTATAACTGTCAAATAAGCTATTTAGTATGTGTTTTTTTCTCCTGACACTGATGCTAAATGCATGTGCTCACACATGCTGATGAGTTATGATGCCCCAAGAATGTCACATCTCAATTCTTAAATTAGAAAGTAGCTCATAGACAGCCAGATTTCCTAAATAGAAAATTCATTTACTAAAATAGAGATAGAGTCATTCACAATGTTATTTTTATAATTAAAAATAGTTCAATAGAAATATTGAATACAGTGATCCAATTTTGGTCTCAGAGTTATAAAAATATTATTAAAAAAATACAACTTCATACCTAAATATTTCTTCCGTAAGTTATAATATTAAAAAATTAAAATTTGATGTGCTAATTTATAAAACAATTGCCATTTAAAGGTGATGCACAATTAGCAAATATCATCTCTAGTCCATTGTATCTAAACACTCATTTTTTATTTAATTGGGTAATGATGATTTAAAAAACAGGCAATTTACCTGTCTATAAAACAATGAACTTAAAACATGAAAAAACTCTCTAATCACTAATTGTATATTACGTACATTAGTTAAAAATTAGTTATTTTGAAACAATTTCAAATCTAACAATAGTTAGATAAGAATAAACCAAAGACAGCTATCCGTGTAAAAAATAATTAAAAATAATCTATATCTGACAGCAATTACCTTTAAGGCACCTGCATTTATTGCTCCCATACAAGAATATAAACTTACATATAAACTTGGAAAGCAATTACAGACATTTTTGTTAGATATTTTAATTCATGTATGACATTTATATTATAATTTGTACCAGAATATGATTTCGTAGGGAACAAATAAAATTTTAAGCCCTGTCTACTTAACAAAGCCAATACACTCAATGGAATAATATAATCCATTTTTCATGTGTAGGATAATTGATTGGTATTTTTACTTGTAAATGGCTATGTTAAAAAACCAACCAATCTCGTTGCCGTCGAGTTGATTCCAACTCATAGCGACCCTATAGA